ATGTCCAAAATCAGAAAAGAGTAACTGAGACAAATGAGATTGAGGCAGACACAGACTTTCAAATTCACAGAGGAGTGGAGGAAAATAAGGAAGAAGTCAGCAAAGTGCTGCAGGAGCAATCAAACAAGATAGATATAGCATTGGAAACAATTCAAAACCTGTAAAAAAAAAAAAAAAAAATCCTCAAAACGAGACCAACAAAAGATAAATGGAGAAAAGCTTAAAGTTATCAAACTTCATTTTGCTTGTATTCACAATCAACTCTCGTGGAAGCTGCAGTCAAGAAAGCAAATGATATACTGCACTGGTCAAACGGGCTGCACAAAAAAAGAGCAAAGATGATGTTTTCAGGACTAAGGTCTGCCTGATCTAAGCCATGGTATTTTCAACTGGCTCATATGTATATGAGCTTATGAGTAAGACTGGAAAGAATAAATTTCAATTATAGTGTTGGTGAGGAATACTGAAGTACTATGGACTGCCAGAAGAACAAACAAATCTGTGTTGCAAGAAGTACAACCAGAATGCTCATCATAAGCGAGAACTGTGAGACTTAACTCTCCTACTTTACACACGTTTCAACAAGGGCCAATCTCTGGTGAAGGACATCATGCTTCACAAAGTGGAGGGTCAGTGGAAAAAGGGGAAGATCCTCAAAGAAACGTAATGACACAACTGGCAGCAACAATGGGCACAAACATAACAATAATTCTGAGGATGCCGCAGGACTAGGCAATGTTTTGTTCTGTGTATAAAGTCACTATGAGTTGAAATTCACCAAGGCACCTAACAACATATGCAGCACAATTTGTTTTATCCATTAATCCACCGAAACGCAGGCAATTAGGTTGTTTCCATCTTTTTACTATTGTGAACTATGCTACAATTACCAGGTAAGTTTACGTCTATTTATCCCTGCTACTAGATTTCTAAGATTTATACTTAGGAGTGGTAAGGCTAGATCATAAGGTATCTCTTTTCTAAGAAAAGTATCATACCATTTTGCAATTGTCATTGTAACATTTTACAATCCCACCAGCAGTGTGTAAGAGTTCTAATCTTTCTCCAGCATTTGTTATTTTCTGTGAGGGTTGGTTGGTTGGTTTGTGATCAGTGCCCTTTTTTCAGGGGTGAAACTGGATCACACTGTAGTTTGATTCACATCTCTTTAACGACCATCGGTAGAAGGCTTCTTTTCATGTTGTTTGTTGGCCACTTGACTGCCCTCTTTGGTGAAGTGTTTGTTCTTTACCCCTTTTATACTCATTCTATGTGATCATAAGCAATGGCAAGGTTTCCTATTTTGTTTTTCTTCTTCAGTGCTGCTTGGGCCTATTTCCTTTCCAAAAAAAAGTTGTCTAGCATTTTTTCCATTTTGTTAAAAAACAATGTTAGAATTTGAATAAGGACTGCATTATACCTGTACATCACTGTGAGTGGTATTATTTATGTTTTTGACTGCAAGGTCAGTTTGAACCGCAGGGTCGCTGAGTCAGAAGTGACTGGACAGCCCTAACAACTACAAGATATCTTTATTGGAGCACATGCATTATTGTCTCTTCCTCTTCCTCAACCAACAACCCAATTATGTGTACCCCGGTTTAGTTACCCAATTATGTGTACCCCGAATATTGGGCGGTTATTTTTTATCGGTGCTGTGGGTTAATGCACCAGACTGTAAAGCCGTTTGAACTGCAAGGTCGGCAGTTCAAGCTCACCAGCTGCTCCTCAGAAACCCTACAGAGGGTCGCTATGGGTTGGAACTGACTCTACGGCACTTCACAACAACTCTACACTTGCATATATTGTGCTATGCTATCTATTTTCTCTGTAGCAAATATGAAATATTGCAAATCCAGAGTCTATCTTACATATCTTTAACATTTAACAAATATTGACAATGGAATATTATAGTCATTTGAAATCAGGTTTACAAATACCAAAAACAAATAAAAAGTGCTACTACCATGAAATTTAACGGTAGGTGGTGGTGGTGGTGGTGGTGTTAAGTGCCGTCGAGTCGGTTCCAACCCACAGGGACCCTGAACCGGGTTTCCAAGGTTGTAAATCTTTATGGGAGCAGAAAGCCTCATCTTTCTCCCACAGAGCAGCTGGTAGTTTCAAACTGCTGACCCTGTGGTTCGCAGCCCGATTCATAACCACTATGCTACCACAGTTGTACAATATTATTGTGACGCTAAAAGATTTATAGAATATGCAAAAAAATGTAGGAATAAAAAAATTCATCGTAAGATACATTTAGAATCTAAACCATTCTACATAAATCTTAACATTAGAAAAGGAAAAGAAATTTATTAAGGAAGTAAAGAAATTACCTAAAACAACAGAAGAAAATATTTGACAACCATATATCTAATATCCAGATTATACTGAAAATAAAACTCCTACAAATGAACAAAGAAATATTCTTCCAAAGGCATACCAATAATAAACACTTGAAAAAATGCAACACTGTCACTACTTATTAAGGAAATGAAAGTCAAAATCTCAATGAGATGCCACTTCACACTCACTATATGACTATTTTTAAGAACAACAAAAAATAACAAGGATGCAATGAAATACTTCAAGCTCTCATGCATTTCTGATGGGGATGTAGAACTATGTTGTTACTGTGAAAAACAATTTGATTATTTATCAAAAAATTAAACATAGACTTGCCATATGACCTAGCAGTTTCATTCCATTTACTCACCCAAGATTTGATAAACAGATACTTATATACCAATGTTCACTGAAGCATTGTTCACAGCAGCCAAAAGATAAAAATAACCGAAGTGTCCATAAAGAGACAAACGGATAAGCAAAATTTGGAGTATGCTTAGAACAGAATATTACTCAGCCATAAAGAGAAATTAAGTTCAGATAATATGCTATAACATGAATGTGCGCTGAGTACATTATACTGAGAGAAATAAGCCAAAGATAAAAGGGTAACTAGGTTAAGAATCCACTTATATGAAAAATCTATAATGGGTACATGCATAGAGGCAAAAATGTATCAGTGACTACTAGAAGGTGGGAGGCAGGAAAGAGAGAATATGTAATTACTGTTGAATAACTTAATTTTTATTTAAGGGATAAAAACTTATAGTAGTGATGGCTGCACAAACACGGTGAATGTAATTGATATGAAAGAATTATACAGTTAAAAATGGTTACAGTGGCAAACATTTTACACATATTTTACAATACCACAATCTTTGTGTCATATATATACCATCCCACACTGTATTATACCACCAAAAACAAAAAAACAAAAAAGGCCTATGTACAGTATTATACCACAAACAGGCAGTTTTGTTTGACAATGAGATCATGATATAAAACTTTTCCTTCCACTTTTTTATTCCTTATATAGTCTTAAATCACTTCCTTTTTAAAACTCTTTCCAAAAGCACCTTTCATAGCATGTATTCACAAATATAAAAAGCATCAAGAGGCTTTAGGTAGCCATGCACTAACATAATTGAAGAACTGAAAATACCATTTACTTTAATAAATTTAGCTATATTATAGTTTGGCAATATGGCCAGAAAAGCATTCACACTGGCTAAAATATTTTAAATGGAAAAATATCCAAAACTCATTGCCATTGAGTCAATACCAACTCACAGTGACCACTATGCAGGCTTTCTGGGATTATTAATCTTTACAGAAGCAAACAGTCTCCTTTTTCTCCATCAGAGCTGCTGATGGTCTGAACTATCAACCTTGAAGTTAGCAGCCCAATGCTTAGCCCATAGTGCCATCAGGGTTCCTTAAAGAATAAATGCTGTTATTGTTATTAAGCATTGTCAAGTCAGTTTTGACTCATAGCAACCAGGGATAGGATTTCTGAGGAGCGGCTGGTGAACCTAAACTGCCAACACCTTGCGGTTCAAACCGACATTGCAGAAAAGCACGTTAATCCACAGCACCACACCATAACTCCAAAGAATAAATAAGAAAAATACCACTGGAAAGGAAAAAGTCTCTAGTTTACTACTTAGAGAATTTCTTATTTGCATGCAATGCTTTTTCTTAGTTTAATTTTAAATTCAACATTTAATATTGTTATTGTAGTTAAGTGCCTTTGACACACAGCAATCCTAGATAGGGTTTCTGAAGACCAGCTGGTAGGTTTGAACCGCCAAGTTTACAATTAACAGTCCAGTGCTTATACAATCTCAAGAAATCCTAAATTTGTGGATCTAAAGAAAATTCCCACAGAAGTTTAAGAAAAGCAATACATTTGCCATTGATAATCAGATTCCTGTAATTTTAGGTAACGCTTTAATTTGGAGTATGCTTAGAACAGAATATTACTCAGCCATAAAGAGAAATTAAGTCTCTTACAACTCTTACCATTTTTAATCATCTAAGTCACAGTTTTTTTATGTTTCAAACTGGCAAAATATAGTATAATATAGTATCTCAAAAAGTTTACAACTCTGAGAGTAGTAAGTAATCAGCACTCTAAACAAAAATAAAATATTTTCTATCCTCATTACTTAAAAACATTTGTTGAAAATCATTATTTGAAATCTCATTATTTAAATACTTTTAATTCATGACTCCAGAAGATTTTAAATATCTAGAGATGCTAAGACAAAATAACCCTATAATGAAATAAGCTATAAAAACAATGCAAATCAACTAAGCAGCAAGCCAAATAGCTGATAACTAGGATTCTGATGACCTCTTCTGGAGAAGGCTTGAGAGAAAATGTTTCAACTGAAAATATAAGGTACCTCTCTCTCTCAAATATATTTGTGCCAACTGTTTCACAGGAACCATTATCAATATTTCCTATAAAAGTAACTTGGCAAATAATAATTTTAAATTTGCAATGAGCATAAAATATATTTACTACACATTCCTGTTTACCACACACTTATTAATCTAAATCTTCCCAGTCATGGGATTTAAAGAAACTTGTTCATCTAGCCCCGATCCAATTTTACGGAGTCCAATGAGGACCTTTTCATATTATAGACATTTTCCCCGCACCTCACTTTCCTAGCAAAGTGATTCTTCAGATTACACTGTACCTGTGATTTTTAACTCAGTTTATGTATCTTTCCCTCCCAAATTTCATTAAATAGTAGGAAATCACTTTTATTTTTCAGTTATTTTATTACACAAGTATGTATGTTGCTTTTGTTGCTGTTATGAAGTGCTGTCAAGTCAATTCCAACTCATAGTGACCCTGTATTACAGGGTTTCCAAGGAGCAGTTGGTAGGTCTAACTGCTGATCTTGTGATTCAGTGTACTGCTAATCCTACATTGCCATAGCAAAAGTATGTATGAGGGGGCTTCAAAACGTTTGTGGGAAAATGGAAATGAAAGAAAATGGAGTTTTTCCACAATATTTTGGAAGTCTCCTCATATATGATACCCAAGTATCATATGCTCTTAAACCCTCTCAAATATCTTCTATGGCTAGAAAACTCATCTTCATAGATTGTTATGACTAATTACCATGACCCATTTCATCCAATCTATTGTTTTTCACACGGTTGGTATTAGTGGCCTAATCTTAGAACTGCAAGGTATTTAATTCAAACCCACAAGCCACTCCTTGGAAATACTATACAAGGGTCACTATGAGTCAGAACAGAATGGACGGCACTTAACAACAATAGTAACAATCTCAATCCTGGAGTCCTGGTGTGGCACCATAGGATAAGCACAAGACTGCTAACTTGGATTCTTAGGTGAGTGCTAAAACTGGCAGACATGTTATAAGGGAAAATTCTTTAATTTTTATTAATTCCATTTTCCACCAACTTTTTGAAGTCCCCTGATATTTATATAGACTATGGCTGAGGGCAATAAAGTGACTACTCTAAAAAACTCTCAATCGAATGATGTCTACTCAAATTCCTTCAGTGGCTTCTAATCACATACAGAAAAAAAGCCAGTGTTACTCTTAACAGAGTTCTTCCAAGTACCTTTTACCTTACCTAACGCTTTACTAATTCTATCCTCCCCCCTTCTTTTTAAACATGCCAGGTATATTCCCACCTCAGAATATTGTACTTGATTTTTTCTCTGTCTAAAATGCTCATCCCTGTAACGAAATATATCATTTTACTTTATTACATGTCTTCCAACTAGAGTGTAAAATGTCTTTTCTTTTTAATCTCTTTTGTTTACTGTCCCCATTCACAGCACCTAGCACACAAGAGATCAACATTTAAAGGAATGAAAAAATTAGCACTGTCCAGTATCACAAACTCAGGTCTGGTGACACATCTTATTTGCCTTTAAAAACAAAAAAATTACAGACCTACCACATTATAAACCTGTATTATCAAAATCTTCAAAGGAGAACTTAAACTTTCACTGCTAAGCAAGACCGTAATATTTCTGTATACTAACAAAATTCTCAAAAGAGCTATCTTAACTCCTTCTTATCTTCATGCTCTATAATTTTCTTTCCAAATCTCTCATCCTTAGACAGTTAACTATGGGATTCTGTTATTTTAATGTTCGCCTTTCCTCAATCCCAAAATGATACCTCTCATGTACTAAAAAAGATTCCCTTCTCTCTATATCTAATCTCCCACCTCCTAATTACCTTTGACTCCACATCTTAAATTATTCACTCTCTCCTCATACATGTCCTATCTCTGATTTATTGCTATTATCAATAATTCTACCCTATATATGGAGTCCTGGTGTGGCGCTTTAGGGTAATGTCAGTTTGAACCACAAGGTTGGCAGTTCAAACTCAGCAGCTGCTCTTCGGAAACCGTATACAAGGTTGCTATGAGTTGGAACTGACTAGACGGCACTTAACAACTACAAAAACAATAACCAATGGAGAAAAGATTAAAGTTGTCAAAAGACTTCATTTTGCTGGGATGCACAAACAGCAATCACTGAATTAGCCATCAAGAAATCAAACAACATTTTGCTTTAAGCAAATCTGTTGCACAAGGTCTCTTTAAAGAGTCCACATTCATTCTTCTTGGATCAACTATCAACACTCACGGAAGCAGAAGTCAAGAAATCAAACGACGTATTGCATTAGGCAAATCTGCTGCACAAGACCTTTTTAAAGTGTTGAAGAGCAAAGACATCAGCTTTAAGACTAAGGTGCACCTGACCCAAACCATGGAATTTTCAATAACCTCAAATGCATGTGAAAGCTAGACAGTGAAAAAGGAAGACAGTAGAAGAATTGATGCTTTTGAGTTATGGTGTTGGAGGAAAATACTGGGGGGCAGATCTGTGTTGGAAAAAGTGCAGCCAGAGTGCTCCTGGGAGGCAAGGATGGCCAAACTTCGTCTCTCAATACTTGGGACACACTGTTAGGAGGGACCAGTCACTGGAGAAGGCTATCGTGTTTGGTAAGGTGGAGGGTCAGAGAAAAAGAGGAAGACCCCCAGCAAGATAGATAAGCAAAGTGGCAGCATCAAAAGGCTCAAGCATGGCAACAATTGTGACGTTGGCCCAGGACTGGGCAGTGTTTCTTTCTGTTGTACATAGGGTCACTATGAGTCAGTAGTGACTCAATGGCACCAAATAACAGATTACTACATAACAAAACAGGAGCCCTGGTGGTGCTGTAGGATAAACATTGACCTGGTTACCAAGAGGTCAGAAATTCAAACCCACTAGCTGCTTCACTGGAGAAGATGAGGCTTTTTGCTCGTGTAAAGATTTATAGTCTTAGAAAGCCCGTAACGGGTCACTATGAGTCAGAACCAACTCCATGGCGTTGAGTAAGAATGAGAGCAAAGTTACTAAGGGGCATGAAAAGAACAACTCCCTATTATCTCCTAGTTAATCAAAATATAAACTACATTTACTGCTCTTCCAAATTTTATCGCCTTTTACGTTCAACAGCAGTCATTCAACAAATATGCTATACTTAGGATACATCAATGGTTACAGACAAAATCCCCCTTCATAAAGCTCTAATCGATCCACAGTGTAAACTTTTTGTTAAACACATAAACTTTGTATGCCTATGTTAGAGTGACATGTTGGGTAAGGGGTAAGGGTGTTAAGATGCACATAGGGATATGAACGAAACTTTTTAGAATTAGTGTACTTGTTTTACAAACCTTAAGGAAAACACAGGCAAGAATAGGCACTTAGTTTATTTAAGATCACAGCTGGTCCTTCTAATGTCTTATAGCACAAACCCATTTCTACACTATTAACATGCCACCCCAAAATTTTATATAGCTTAAGCTGAAATATTCAAATTAATCCTGAATATGTATAATTATGGGAAATATCTGCCTTATAACAAGTATTACACGTAATATGATAAAGTAATAAATTCACTTATAATTTCTGCTTAAATATAGTTTGTAGGAATTGAGTAATTTAAAAATATAATTCTAAAAACAAAAATACATTTCGAAAACATATACATATATAAATACATTACTTTTAAAAATACTTACAGTACTATGAAAAACAACACTGTGTCCCTTCCCTAAACTTTCTATATGAGCTGAGAGGTTAAAGCATATGGCTCGATGTCTTATCGCATCCAGTGTTTGTGCATCGAAGAAATCATGTGGTCGTGCTAAAAGTCAACACAAAGAGGTAAAGAATATTTAAAGAATGGAACAATCTGCCAAATAGCCAAATAGTCTGTTTTCCACAAAAATATGTAATAAAGATTAAAATAATCAAGTAACAAGTGCCTGTCTAGTGTTTAAATTCAAGATATTTTGTTTTCAAAACTAACCTCAGACCTCATGATTCTACACGTGAGCTACTAATTTTTCTTGTAACTTTATCTTTCACTTCAGCATCTCTCCTGATCGCCAGTACATTTTCAGCAATATGAACATCTTGCTTTGAGCACCATAATGCGATCACAATAACTTTTCTAACAATGATGCAAGTAAATTATGAATATATTTTGATGCCAGTGAACCCAACCAACATTTTTTAAATTTTCACCTCCACCTGTTAACAGTTGTGTGACTTTGGGCAAATTGCTTAACCCACCTTAGCTTGTTTCCTTTATTCACAAAATGGAAGTATCTTATCAGCTATTGGTATGATTATGTAAAACACATGCATTTGAAAAATGCCTTGAAAAGTTATAAATTGTTTCAAAAACCTAGAGTAGGTAATATTTTAGCACAATCAAAACAAAAGTTATACATTAAATATTTGAGATTTCTCAAATTTCATTTTCTCAAATTTCATTTCTCAGATTTCATTTCCATCACATTAAACATTGTAAATTGTGATATTCTTACTCTTAATAAGAAAGTAGTTCAAAATAAAGATAGTAGATCATTTTTAAAATGTGTAACATCATGATTTGTAATTTTTGAAGATCATCTGTAACCAGAACTATTAACTTAAGAAATGGCTTGATCTCCTGATACATTCTAAATTACATGTATGCTGATTTACCACACCAATTATAGGGCTCTCAGAGTATTTATACAAAGGAACCAGAGCTTTTGTGGGTGTCCATTTCAGCAGCTGGCACAATCAATAGAACACCTAAAGATACTTTTTTTTTTACTCACTGGATTTTTCCTCAATGACAAATAAGTAAAATATCAGTTAGTGACAAGCTATCAGAGCCCACAAAAACAAAGAATGTAACAATGGAAAATCAAAAACAAAAAAATAATTAACACTTTTGAAGGAGAAAATGCACGGGTTTTACCTAATACTAACAAACAAATCCCTTTCCTAATATTAGGCTTTTAAGGAAAATATATACTCTGTGCTACAAAAAATGTAAGATAATCCCTAGTGATGCAGTGGATTTAAGCATTGGACTGCTAAACAAAGGTTGGCAGTTTGCACTCACCATGGGAGAAATATGAGACAGTCTACCTTCCATAAAGATTTATAGCCTTGGAAACCCTAAGGAGCAGTTCTACTCTATCTTGTGGGATTAGCTGTAAGTCAGAAATGACTGCATGGCAGTGAGTTTTAAATCTGATTATCCAAATGCATGCTTTCTCTCTTAAGAATAAGCATTTACAAAATATAATAATAGCTTACTCCTCTGATTCATTCCAATTAATCATTACTTATTCAAGATTTAAATATAAAAGATACCATTTTAAATAAATTCACAATAATGACATGAGTGATGAAACTTCAAAGTCTATGAAACTTCAAAGTCTTAACCATGTTATCTCTACTATTATAGTTTCAAGAATACCAAACTAGAATAGTAAACTCCAAATCAACGATTCACTAGCGTAAGGCAAGAAAATAACACTATGTTCATTTATTTTTCCTTTTCACCCTTATTCAATATTTCTTCTTGGCAACTGTTTAAAATGTATTACATGTTTACAATGTATAAACACGTATAAACATGCATTAGGATTGTGTGTCAATTATTTTTTAAACTGATGAGCATATAGTCAAAAATTTTTATAAATTGTAAAAACACCTATTTTCTTGTGGTTCTGAACCATATATATTATGGGATTTCCCACAGTGGTAACAGTACTGCAGTTATATATAATGAATATCTTTATTCTTAGGAGATACAGTCTTAAGTATGTCAGAGAGACTGTCAAAGTGAATACAAGTTCATTAAGATTCAGGATGAAGAAGTGTGTTGTGTATGTATGTGTGTGCGCGTTAATGGAGATGAGACAACATGGCATATTAAAAACTGATGACTCTAAGAGAAAGGTATACAAGTGTACTACTCATTGTATTACACTTTCAACTTTTCTTTGAAGCTTATCAAAAAGACTTTTTAAACTTTAAAAAGTAAATTTATGTTGAAATGGCAAGTGTTTTGTTTAGTCAAAAATTTAAAGAATCTTAATGAAAAAGATACATTTGTCCATAGCAGCCATATATTGATCAGAGGAGGTGCTAGTGCTCCATTTCTAAACAAGAACTGGCTATTAAAAGAAGACCTGGTGTGGTGCTGTGTGATAAAACACTGGACCACAAGGTCAGTTTGAACCACAAGGTTAGAGGTTCAAACTCAACAATCACTCCTTGAAAACCCTATGTTGTTGTTATGTGCCATCCCTATGTTGTTGTTATGTGCCATGGAGTCGGTTCCAACTCATAGCGACCCTAATACATGGTTTCCGAGGCTGTAAATCTTTACAGGAGCAAAAAGCCTCATCTTTCTCCCACTGAACACCTGATGGTTTCGAACTTCTGACCCTGAGGTTAGCAGCCCTATTTGTAACCACTACTCTACCAGAGCTCCCTATACAGGGTTGCTGTAAGTTGGATCTGACTTGACAACATTAACCACAACAATCTTCCTTTTACAAAAATAGAGTGGCAAAGAGTATAAATACTCCCAAGTGAATAATGTAAAAGAGTCAGTATATTTTAATGATTACTGTGAATATACTGAGCTGAAAACGATAATGAGGTTAGGTGGAACAAGTAGGAAATTTATCCTTAGTTTTCAATACCATAACATATATTTAGTAGTTTTGGGTGTGCAACTGCAAACTACTCAAATTAAGAGGCAACTGGTTTTTCTTTTCTCTCTAGCTCACCTTTGCTATCCCTTGTCAATGACAGCTCCATTCATTCTCTTCTCTCATACTTACTCATTCAGGAAATATTTAAGTAGCCAGCTGACAAACCAAATACTCAGTTTTAAAGTCAATTCCTGCATCCAACATTTACAAGCCTCATAATTTTTTTATATCATAAATATCAAGGATATGCCTCAGTCTGGCAATTAATCTTATAACCATTGAACACATGCATTACAGCAGATCATGAGTGATTAAACAAATCTTTTTGCTATCCACACATGCTGCTTTGGAGTAAACAGGTTACTTGCATGTAAATTTACTTAGTTTTTATCTTTAACAAGTTCAAATTTTCTTTTCTAGAAACACCATTACAGTATTTAAGCTTTTCTAGAAACACCATTATAGTATTTTAAATTTTTATCTAATTCTATACAGAGTCTAAGGTTACCTTTATTTATGCTCCCTTACCTACTACAAATAAAGCATGTCTTTAAATTTTCACTTTGACAGGCAAATATCCTACTTGTCTATTCCTGCTAACAGAAACGGAATAGCAGAATTGAAGAATGGTAAAGCTGGATTTGCATGAAAGCCCCAGATATGAACAAAATCTATCTAATACATATTTTTTTCTCAGTGAAACACTTACGTAGTGAGCGTCGTCTTTTGTTCTTTAATTTCCTCCTTTTGTTCATTCCAGCTTTAGAAGGAGATTCTTCTTTGGCCTTTGGCTGGCTAGACACTTTTGAGGAGTTCTGTTGACTGAAGTGTGTGGGTACATGGCGAGCTAGCCCTCCCTGAGAAGCAAAGCTGGCATTGCAGCCACCAACAACACACTAAATGAAATGAAAGAAAACAAGGATGTCATGTCAAGGATGTTGTGTAGGGAATGAGCAGAGTATGAAAAAATTTGAATATATATTTCCAGAAGTAAATCAGGAATGCAATAAAAACTATTTCCAGATCTAGAGAATCTAAAGTAAATGTGAAAAGAGTAACATGTCTAAAAGCAAAAACAGAAAAATCTAATATAGGGCTACAATTCTCAACTAAGATCAATTCTACCTTCCAGAGAATATTTGGTAACATCATTTTTGGCAGTCACAACTGGGTAGGGAGCTACTGGCATCTAATAAGCAAGCACACAAACACCAGGAATCCTGCTAAACATCCTACAATATAGTTCAGATTCCTTTCCCACACCATTTAATTATACAACCTAAACTGTCAGTAGTTCCAAGATTGAATACCTCCCTAAGGTAGAATGGCATCCTAGAGAGTGAGGATGCATTCTGCACATTTAGCATAGCAAAAGAGTAAGACAAATAAGGGATGGAGCAAATGAAATATTTTACCTCTTGAATTGCAGTTGTATTTCAGGACTAAACATACTTTTATTAACTACAGATAAAATCTCATTATTCACAAAAGAATATCCTGCCAGTATGTGCAAACGGAACATGGCCAAAGTAATCCATGATCATTCTAATTGCTTCTCCATATCCTAACATCATGAAGTTCTGGTGTGGTGCTGTAGAATAAGCACTAGACTGTTAACAACAAGGTTAGTGGTTCTGCCACAAAAGCTGCTCCTTGAAAACGCTACACAAGATCGTTGTGAGAACAGAGTTGACAGCACTTAACAGTAACAAAAATCCTAACATCAGTACCTCAGATACGAATCTAGAAATCTTACTTAATCTACGAAGAGCCCCATTGTTCTTCAATTGCCCAAACTCTAAAACAGTCACCATGAATCCTTCTTCCTAATTATACACGTCTTTAGTTACCCAATACAAAATTCATTCCATGAAGAACTAGTCCAACCCTTTTATATGATACTACTCAAGGTAACCCACATTAGGCAGTGGAGAGCTGGAAACAAAACTCAAGTGTCATAATTCCCCAGGCTACTAATCTTTTCATTATCTTCTTAGAACAATGCAGTTTTTAATCACTTTTGTAAGAGGAGCAGTTTAAGTTTTTGTTGCAAAGAAACAAATGATACCCTGTCAATTACTTGATTTCAAACATTCATAAATACTTTTAATATTAAGATAGATGCTACTTTAGCATCTTCCCTACATTCTACACACTGTTTAAACAGGTAGAAGTATGATATTAACTTTCAAAGAATTTTCATACAAATTCAGCCACTCTCAGAGAGAGAACTGAGTCATGCTTAGAACTGGTCTTACACAGTTCTTTGTAAATTCCATTAAATACTGCCTCCTCAGCAATTGATGCTTGCAAGAATTAGAAATTAAAGTTAACTACTCAAGTCACCTTGGAGGTCAACTATTCCAAAAATAAATGTGGCACAGTTATCACCAGAGCTACAATGCACAAATTACTTCAAGTCTGTGATTTCTGGTTAGATTTTTAGGAAATAATTTTTGAAGATTTTCTTACATTTGAATCACACTAATTAAACATTATTTTCCGAAATGATCCCCCAACAAAATCTATAGCTGTATTAATAATGATTTTCTCTAGATAATATCATAGACAGTCTACATGTTTCAGGCTCCTGTTTTCAATAGAGGCATCTCTACAATTATTAACTTTTAAAAATATAACATAACTCATATTTGTAGAAATAGTAATTTTTGTCACAAAGTCTCTCTAAATCTACCCACTGGAAAAGAGTCAATCCTTCTGTACAAATATATCCTTACACTTTCAACTAAAATAGATATTTATCTTAACTTACACTTGTGTATTTTTAAGCAGAAATGTACTTCTGCGTTATCTATATTCCCCAGAGCATCTTGTGCAAAACAGATATTTAAAACTGTATTAACACAGTCCAGGGCAAGAAAGCAGAGCAATAACCTCTGCAACAAAGACATGGTGAAAGACCAAGTGAAACAGACACAAATGGTGATCCTGGAACACTGAGCATCAGAAGATAGGACAGAGAGGAGGACTGAGGACTGACTTAAAAAGGAAGCTGAACAGGAGCAGTGAAAGAGAAGAAAAACAGGTAGACTGTGGGCTGGCATGGCACACTGTATTCATCACGAATTTTTGAAAGCAGCAGTTGATATAGCAACCAGCAGACACAGGATACAACTGGAGGTTAGCAGAAGGAGATGTATCTCCCTTGTTCCCATGCCTTCCTGCTAGCCAGGGGCATGGTCAGTCCCAGCCCTCGCCAACCTAGCAGCCAGTTGTACGACTTCAGCTCTGCCTGGGGTCGGACACTGTGCACAGTGACCCTGTTTCTAACGGCTCATGAACCACCCTGAACTACTTTACACAAACAATGAACAGAGAACTAACAGTGTTCCCAATTCTAGTCAATACCACAACCACCAAGAGACAGGTGGTTGAGTGCCTGAGAATGTATTGATACATAGCCATCAACTAAAAATAAATGACACTACAATGGCTTGCAGAAAAGAGACAGTTTGAACTTACAGAAAGAAATAAGACAGAGTGTCTCAAACAAGTCACCAAAATACAGAGTCAGAAAATCTAACACCAGAAATGGTATCAGAACTACCTAAAAATGAATTTAAAGTAATACCAATTAGATGACATCTAACAATTTGGAAGAAAGATTTAGAAAACTACAGATGAAATCAGAGAAATAAACAAAATTACAAAAAAAAAATTGGGAAACAAATTGACAAAATAATTGAAAAGTAAGAACCATACAAAAATAGCAATCAGAAAGCCAGAAGATTAACAGTAAGACTTCAGAAACGCAAGTTGTCCCAGGTCATACTCTAATACATGTCAGGGTCAAGCTCTAAAGTATAACCACAGGAAAGACTGGAATGTTAAAAGTCATAGGCTCAAAAAAAAAAAAAAAAAAACGTCATAGGCTCCACATGCTAAGAGGAAAGTCAATAGAAATGTATTACAAACAAAAAATAGTAACAGTCTGTAAACATATGAAAATATATTAAATTTCATTCATACATACCATTATGTAACTTTCTCATCTATCAAATTGGCAAAAATAGAAAAGTTTAACATCAACTTCTGAGCAGGGCTATGGAACTATTGCTGATGAGGGTACAAGGCAATTTGTCAATATTTATCATAATTACTAGTGCTTATTTATTGCCTTTGATCCACCCACTTATATAACTTCTTCGGCTTTCTCCTATATATATGTAATTATATACACATACAAAATGACATGTAAAATAAATAAATGAATAAAATTACATGTATTCATGATTCTTCATTGCCACACTATATGTAACAATAAAAAACTGGAAATCCAAATATGTTTGGGATTAGTTTTAAATACACCAGGCTACAGCCACACAAATGAATACTATGACGCTGTTTGAAAAGTAAGAATTTCAATTATCCTTCTGCTTACATGCAAACACCTATAGTATAAAGTATACTTTAAAGGTACAAATGCATTTGTTGTTGCTGTTGTTGTTAAGTACCGTGGCGTCAGTTTCGACTCATAGTGACCCTGCACAGGGTTTCCGAGGATATAAATCTTCACAGGAGCAGAAAGCCTCATCTTTCTCCCATGGAACAGCTGGTAGTTTCAAACTGCTAACCTTTTGGTTCGCAGCCCAATTCGTAACTACTACACTACCAGAGCTCCTACAAATGTATTTAATGCCACTTAATTTTACACTTAAATTATTCAACTATTTCACAATAAAAAATATTCAAAAAAGGTACACATGGCATTATAAGATATTAATAATAAAGGAAACCAGGTATATGGGAACTCTGTACTATCCTCACAATATTCCTGAAATTTTAAATTGCTCTAAAATAAAAAGTTGATTTAATAAATACATATGCAATAGCATAAAAAAGTACACAGCATACAAGATATATTTTGTAACAGATAATTAGGCTGCTTGAGGAATTCATTAGAAACTAATACATGTATACTGCCAAGAGAGGAGACAGAAAAGAGTAAGGGAGTAAGATTTCTCAATAAAATCTGTATTTTAAAATTATTTGAGCTAGCTAAAGGCTACTTAAGTCAAAAAATATTAAGAGATTTTCTTAAAAACAAATCCACTTATTCCCTAACAGAACACAGTAAAAGTTTCTAATACAGTATTTATAAATCAAAAGTCCTGATACTGAAATGGCAAAGCACAGAAAGATCGGCAGTTCAAACCCATAAGCACCTACACTGTAGAAAAGACCTAGAGACCTGCTTCTATAAAGATTAAACTACACCAAACTCACTGCAGTCAAGTTATTTGACTCACAGAAACCCTACAGGATAGAAGAGAATCACCCGCATAGGGTTTCCTAGGATGCAAACTTTATGGAAGCAGAGCAGCTGATACACACTTGAACAACCAACCTTTCAGACAGCAGTCAAGAGCCTAACCACTACAACACCTTAATAAATTTTTGCTGCTGTTATTGTTAAATACCATGGAATCGGTTCCAACTCATACAACCATGTATAGCATTTCTGAGGAACAGCTGGTGAATTTGAACTGCTGACCTCATGGTTCAAATCAATCTTTTGGTCCAGTGTTTATCCTACAATGCCACACTTCTTTAATTAGAAACCAAATATAGTCTTTAACATGTGTAAAGATTGTATTAACAGAAACTTGGTCTTCACCCAGGTTTCAGAGACTTCATTCATCTACATGTTATCTTACAAGATGATTTGAAACTAGCATCTGTAATATAACCCTAAAATTGTGTGAACAGTTTCAAATCCCTTAATGCTCTACAATTTCTTTATTTCCTACTATCATTGCTATTCACATGTAAAAAGGCTGAAATTTTTGACAGTGAGAAAACAATAAGACCACAATGATTAACAATGACTAAGAGATTTAAAAAGACATAGGCTTTAAGACTAAACAATAGTGTGGTTTAACTAACTAGCAAGACTGTCTATCTTGCTAGTTAGTTAAACCATACTAGTATGCTCTCTAAAGATTAACTATATGAAATCAAATTGACAATAGCAATTAGAGAGGCATCTTAGGAAGCAGTAAGCTTGTTACTGGAGGAGGAACAACTCAGAAAATGAGAATGGTCGGAGAACTCTGAAAGAATGAAATCAATGTCACTTAATTGTACATGTAGAAACTGTTGGATTGGTATATGTTTCACTGTGTTTATTCTCAATAACAACAACAAAAATCAAATAAATTATAATAAATAAAAGACACAGCTTCCAATCCCTGACCTTACGGTGATGGTTTTTTTCCTTATCCTCAAACTGAAAACTGGATTAAATTATCTCTACACCTTTCTTCCTCCTCTTTTCATATGCAATAGTTATCATTAGCTTTACTGAAATTTTTATTAACTTAGAGGAAAGGGACAGAATTTTAGGAAGGTAGTTTTCCATAAAGGAGTCCTGACGGTCAAGTGGTTAAGCAAAAAGTTTGGTGGTTCAAACCCACTAGCTACTCCATGCTTCAGTAAAAGTTTGCAGCTATGGAAACCCTATAGGGCAGACAGTTTTACTCTAACCTAAAGGGTTACTGTGAGTCAGAACCAATTCAATAACAATGAGTTTTTGGTTTAGCTTTATCTAATAAGCAATAATGTATGAATCATAGGATGTTAAAAAGTGAAAATAAACCTGAAACTTATGTTTAGTCCAATTTTTGAGTGAACTTTGTTCAATATAGAAGTTGCCTGAATTGCATTCATATCTCACGATCCTATGTTTTCTGTTACATACAACACTTGTTAAACTTTGCAGTCATTCTGACCTAGTTTTTAGGTCCCTAAATAGTATAGAAGAATAGAAAGTCTTCACTCAGTTACTAACCAAAAAGCGGGAGGAATTCATTCAGTGGCATTGTGTAAGAAAGGCCTGGTAATCTCCTTCCGTAAGACTACCTGTTTCCAGAGTGGATTCCACACCTCATGGTGACTCCATATGTTACAGAATAGAACTGCTCTGTCGGGTTTTCTTGGCTGCAACCTTTAGAGAAGCATATTACCAGACCTTTATTCCACTCCCTTCTACTTTTGAAATTTCAAGTATCCATAAGAAGGATGGAGTGGTGCTGCAGGATAAGCACTGGAATGCTAACTGCAAGGCTGGCAGTTCAAATTCACCAGCTGGTGCTCAGAACCTGACACAGGGTCACTATGAGTTAAAACCAACTCAATGGCACTTAACTACATAGGAATGTTAAAACAAATGTTGCATTTCTCTTTTTTTTAATGTAAAGAGCAAAAATAAGCCCATTAAGAAATGTCATCTTAAGTTGGAAGTTATCAAAGAAAATTCCACACATACACTTACCTTAAAAGGTTTGTCTCCACTATGTGTTAGCATATGTCTCTGTAACCAACTCTGACTAGTTGATGGAGTATTATATACTTTACAACCTTTCCATAAGCAAACAAATACCTGTTAAAAATAAGAGCCATATTAATTTTCATCATTTGTTTCAACAAAGCTTGATTCCTTATAAATTCAAATGAATGTTTTAAGTCTTCAATTAATAAAAACAGCCTTTTAACGTATGATTCAAACAAATGTGAATTCACATCTATAACTAAAAAACACATATATAAATGTTAATACTAAACCCATGTTTTTAAAGGATTTTCTTTGAATTTATTTATTATATAAAATACACAAAACACCTGCCAAAGGTTCTTGACTTGACTCTTATGATGCAGTTTTTGACTTAATTTATAATCTATACTTTAAAATATTTTTAAGTCATTAAAATTACATAGTTCTACCAAAATGAGTATAAAGACCCACTAGCAACTATTAAAATAGATCAAGTATTATTCTCCCTAAGTATAAATAGCTTCAAAAAGTACACATTTCGGAGAACAAATAAGATGGCGGATCAGGTAGACGTGCAGTGAGGAGGTCCGTCAGCAACAACAGAGAATTCTGAACCAAGCAGGCTCAGGGAATGGTGCCAGAACTCTGAACCACATACAAAGAATAATTAGAAAGTTGGAAGGCTTACAGCCAGTGGAATTTATAGCAAAAGTAAGAAATCCTGTTCTTTTCTAATCCAAGGCGCTCAGCTGCTTCCTGAGCAGCCGTCTTGGGCAAGACCGAACCAGAGAAGGATCAGAGCAGCCACGGATGCCTGACAGAACCACAGAGATAGAGGTGTGGACATTCTTTTTTCGTATTTGCTTATCAACCTCTCGCTGTCTGTGCACCTCCATTCTGGTGACTAGAGGGGGTGCCCCATTGCCACTCTCGGAGGGCTCTATTACGCATAAGCACAGATCTCCTTAAAATTTAAAGGGACCTAGCCTCAATGACTTGATAACCAGAATTCAGCTACACGAAGATTTAAAAAAAAAAAACAATTTTTGATAAAGGAAACAATGGTAAATTGCTACAATTTGATGAACCTGACCTATACTCAATGGAGGTTGTTGTTGTTGTTAGGTGCCATCAAGTCGATACCAACTAACAGCGACCTTATGCAGAGCAGAACGAAACACTGCCCGACCCTGGGCCAACCTCACTATTGTTGCCACGGAGGCCATCGATGCTGTCAGTAGTAACTCTAAACACCAACAGAGAGAGGAGTCTTCACATCAAGTATCAATGCTATCCTCAGTGTACACAGGGTAGATAGGGATGGGCATTTAGACAATGGCTACCGAAAATGAGGGAGTTATAAAGGCACAAAGTAACCGGCTTATAAAGTTTCAAGAGGGAGTGTAATTTAAGAGTGTGAGGGGGTAGAGTCTCCACTGAATAGTTGTCATCTTGTCTAGATAGGTCTGATTAAAAGAGATGGGGATAAGATTCCTATGATTCAATAGTAATTGTTATCATGACTAATTGCAAGTGTCACAATTATAAAGTTAGAAGTTTTGTAACAAAAATGGGGAAGCAGTTAATCTTACAGTCCAGAAACAAAGGACCCTAGGACCATCAAGGGAGAAGAGCACAAGCGGAATGTGGGACCTTATCCAGAGAAGCAGCAATACCAGAGATGGAGGCAGAGATGAAGATACGGAGAAAGGGAGCAGCTGAGGACTCTAGGTTCATGGGAAAAGAGGGAATAAAAGAGCTGGCGGCCAGAAGGCACACTTGTAGAATATGCCGTTGGGTGGTGTAAATTATTATATATGCCTGTTTGGATTTTTTTTTTTTAAACAACTAAAGTGAATAGACAGGGAGTGAGTAACCTTACAGTCTAGGAACGGAGGTCCCTAGGACCATCCCAGGAGAGCAGAGAACGGAACCCTACCCTGAGAGGCAGTGATGACAGGGATGGAGGCAGAGACAATGACATGGGGAGATGGAGCGGCTGGAGACTTTGGGCCTGGAGAGAAAGAGGGGCAGTGTGCAGAAGACAGGAGGGCAGGCTTGCGGGGTATACTCTTTGGTTGATATATGACGCATGGAAGGGATTATAACCATGGCAAGGAAACGATATACGACGGGATCAAGGTGAAGCTAATGCCTTCCCATGTAAACTATCACATAATTCACAATAAAGCATTAAAAAAAAAAAAAAAAAGTACATAGCTTTAGATGGACAGTATTTTGAGATACAATAGCTTCTGATTTTGATAATTTTATCTAGTGAACATTTCTAAGGTTTTTGTATCAATACTTTCTGACTTACTTCTTAAATACAATTAAAGCACATGTAAAAAAAATCTGTATTTTCTGATACTGAAAAGCTGGCTAGATTGATTATACTTAAAAAAGGTATACATTTATACTCATAAATTAATTCTACAAAAATCGGTACAAAATATTGACAGTTTTCTTTACAATACTTTCCAAAAAATTTAGATTCTCACAAAAAATGTTATATAGTTCTACTTATATAAAATATAATTCAGAAATCTTAACAAAATTAAGCATTTTTATTGAAAAACAGATCTTCCCAGATGAAAGGTAAAACTACCTTTTCACTATAAAAAACTGACAAACTATCACAAAGTAACATTTAGAAGTTCAAGTTTAAACTGCCAACCTATTAATAATAGATACATATTCTAGAGTTTCAGATAACTGAACATGACTGGGTTTGTTTGTTGCTGTCGTTAGGTGCCATAGAGTCAATACCAAACCATAGTAACCTTATGCACACGCAGAACGAAACACTGCCCGATCCTGTGCCAACCTCACCACTGTTGCCACGGTTGAGTCCATCGATGCTGCCATTTGGCTAATCCATCTCAATAGAGGTCTTTCTCTTTTTCTCTGAACCTCCACATTACCAAACATGATATCCTTCTCCAGTGACTGGTTCCTCCACACAATATATCCAAAGTACAAGTGACAAAGTTTGGCCATCTTCACCTCCAAGGAGCACTCTGGCTGCACTTCTTCCAAAGGAGATCTATTTGTTCTTTTGGCAGTCCATGG